CAAAATATTCCTGTCACGGGTTGAAATTGATATTTTGTTTTTTTGGTTTGGTTTTAACACAAGTCTGCTGCAATTTTATTCCCTGTTATTGGGACTAAACCAAAGACTGCAGCTGGGAAGGAGCATGCAGAGATGGTTTCTTCCATGAGGTTTGGCTGTGTTAGACTACAGAGTGTTTATATCTTGTGTCTGCTTGGAGCAGATGGCTCTGTTTGTTTACAACACCTCAACACAGAGTGAAGAATAAAGAAAGGTACTTGCTCTTTCCTGAAAAATACAAATGTGGGAGCAGTGAGGTCATCACTCTTGAAATGCTTCAGAAATAAAAGTGCTTTCTTCAAAACTATGTAGCAGGAGCAGTTGCTGCTCCCAGCATCAATCTGACGGGTGCCACTTGCTTTCCTGTTGAAGTTGTGCATGTAGGGTCATACATGCTGGGTCTGAAATCTGAAAAATATGGAGCTGCTACTGGAGCTTGTCAGTTTCTAATCACTGCAAAACTCATTGTCTTTTTGATAGTTTTGAGTCTGTACACAATACAGGAATATAAGTTCCCTGTTGTGATAAAGAAGTAATATTCATAACTGTCAAGGAGATGGTGCATAAGGAGGAACCTCAGGGCTAAAGAGCTAGAAATTCAGAAACCCTGTTCAGAAATAATTTGTAGTGAAATGAGAGGTTTGAAGCTGATGAGCTAATAGGCGGTTAATTGCCTGGTGCTGTGATGGTACAGCTGGGAAAAGAAACACACTCAATCTTTAAATGGCCTCAGAATATAAATACTTCAGAAAATGTTTTCGCATGTACAGGGACAGACACTTGCAGAGGCTCAGGCTTCCTTGTCCAGTGTGCTGATTCATTCTTGCTGTCATTCAAAAAAGGTGGTGTGTGCTCCATCCAATGTGTGATGGCTTAGCCCCGTTACCCCCACTGCTCTTAGAACAAGAGGCCACAAAACTGACTAGTGCCAAGACAGATTGCTGTGTGGAAAGTACTGTGAAAATGGCCAAGTACTTCAAAGTTTTGATAATCTCACTAGCTATTCCAGCACCTCCCATGTCTCCGTCAATGCGTAATGTGCTCAGCATTTCCTTGAAGAGTGGTTCAGAGCTCCAAGTATGTGAAAACGCATAGCTTCAGACATAGTGAGCAGGTGCTCTCTGTGTTCACTATAGAACATAAATCTGTAGCAAGTAGGGTCACTCAGTGAATTGTTCCTGACTTCATCCCAGCTTTTCTAGAGATGGTAGTTATTGGACTACAGAAAGGAAATTTAGGATGCTAATATAGATTCCTTAAAAACTAGGTTGTCTGGATGACTGATTCACCAAATAATTTGCTGTGTATCAGCCTGAGTAACAGTTATAGGTGGGTGTGTTTAGAGATGTTCGAATGGCTTGTGTGTCAGTACTAATACATTGAGTGTGGTTTGGGAAAGTGCTTTAAGTGTTTTGCCATGTATTATCAAGTGCTGTTTGATCTGTGTTCTGTCCAGAGAGGTGTGCTACAGAGTGCTAAACATCGTGTGGCTTAAATTACTTGTTCAGCAAGTCAGCAGCTGTTGGTAGAGGTTAGAATTTTTTCTCTTGTTGGTGTCCTTTGCAGTTTGTTTTTCAGTGAGTGTGACTGTGACAGCAACTAACAAATAATATTTAAACCTTCTGGGATGACAGGTATATTAGATATACTGTAGTTCAGTTTTTGTATTTAAAGAAAAAATTATAATTTGTTTTCTGCATATGTGAATTAGTGACAAAGGTATAATAGTTCCCTGGGAGTATAAACTCATGTGGACGTTGACATACATAAAAGGTTTGGGTTTTTTGTTGTGTAAGTGGTGTTGGCATCTAACCTAGAAATATTTCTTTTTTCTTCTCCTTTTAAATCTAATTGCATTTATGTTAACATTAGTGCTTCAGTAAATACTGGGAACAGCAGGATTTGAAAGATAGGGGGTTACACAGTGCAATGTGAAGGCTGTACCTTTGGGAAATCTACAGTAAGCAGCCAAATAATCCAGATTCTAATTTAGTGGGTAAAACAAATATGTAGTATTTAAAATTACAGTAGATAAGAAGCAATCTGACACCAGAAGCAAAGAAGAAACAGCTCAAAACCCTAATCACCTGATGTTTTTAGTCATTCTTATCATCTTGTTTTTAAATCCATACATAAAATATATTGCTGCTGAATTTTTATTGTTATTTTAAATGTAATTGCGAAAGAGCAAAATGGCTACTGTATGAAGAAATCTGCTAGTAATTCCTTTTAAAAAAGGCAAAACTGTTTTTGTAAAATGAAAAACTTGATATTCTGGTCTAAACTGCAGCACAGAAAGACAAAATGTGACTTTGCCTGTTAGTTACATGCTGATTTCCTTGTGAAAGAAGACACTACCTGAGAAATTACTGTGTATATTGTAAAAACAAGAGAGTCACAAGATGGATTCCGGATGAAGATTTTTTTAAAAAGAATTAACTGATGCACATACTCATCCCCCGCCTTTTCAAACCTTGAAATGAACACATTGAGTCAATTAATTTTCAGCAACTTTTAAATACAACTGTACGTGCAAGGTATTAATTTTGGTTAGGTGAGAGGGTCGGCAGTCTAGCACAGTGCTGTCAATAAAGCCCATTATTAACTGCTTTAATGAGGACCAACCCCTGTCCCCAGGTGTGTGTCAGACATGTACCCAGCACTTCTCTGTGTGTTGTGCATTATCTGAGGAGTGAAGGCGGGTACCTGGGTGTTCCTCACTGGGTAAAAGAGAACTCGGTGTTGGCCATTAGGCAAGTGTAAACTGGTTGTCAGTCCAAGTGGTGCAAGCATAAACACAGTTGGCTTTGCCATTGTTCTGGTCTCCATCTGAAGGTTGGTACCCACCTAGTATCAGCCTGGAGTGACTGTAATATAGCCATCACTTCAGAGTATTCCACACACATTTTCAATAGTTGCTCTGTGTCTGCAAAAAGATGAATTATCGTTGCTGTATTAGTTACATGTTCAATTATACATTCTTAAAGCAGTATGGCTACTGTGTGATCTTTGTCCTAGAGAAAAGGACATCTCTAGTAAATACACTTTCTTGAGCTGAGACCAAGTGTTTTGCTTTCTTTTCCTTCTACTAATTTTCTTCAAATAGAAATCCAACAGTTACACTTCTGAAAAACATCTCTGCAGCAGCAGGGCTCTGACATAGGGAGAAACTTGTTTTGTCTAAGTCTGCGTGCCATACCAATGGCACTGTGCAGGCTTATCTGGTCTGCTTGCTCTTGCCATCTGTTTTGTTTACTGATGCAAAGTTTTTACTGCTCCCAGTATTTCTAAGCCAACCACCCCATGAAAGAGTCATCAATGAATTGTTCTTCTTAGCTCTAGTTGTCAGATAGTAAATAGTGAGAATGAAGGTGTCAGAGTAAAATGAATAAATTTCCTTCCTGTGGAGAAACTGATCTGAGTGATCCTATTTTAGAAACAAACAAGAAAACACTTCTCAAACTTAAAGCATAGCTTTTTTTTTTTTTTTTCTTCCCTGAATTGCTACACTGGAAGTTAGAGAAGGGCTCAATGTGAAGTTTCAGTGTCACTAGAGAAGATATTCTCTAAGTATAGGTTTGACACACCAGTGCAAGTATTGCTTTAAAAAAAATAATAAAAGCTCTTCCATGTTGCTTTTGCAGTTGGTGCTTCGTTGGCGTTATTGATAGGGAATGCCCTGATAGAGAGAGACTGTTTCTGTTGAAACCATGGGTTGGGCACTTGGGGAGACCTTTTTGAATGCCCAAATGCCAGTGGCCATGAAGCTTAATTCTCAGTGGGATTTATGAGTCCAAATTACAGTTTTGGCCCTGACTGTGGAGGGAAAGCCAGCATTTAACATCCTTCTCCCTGCATCTCTATTTCTGTATAGTTATGTTAGCTGATTACTTTGTGATCTCCCTACAGGGACTGCTGTCTTATCTGTTTCCCTTTGTATGCATCAAAACACACTCGGGAGGCAAAAATCCCCAAACCCCATATCTGTTGTGGCTGTTGGCAGGCTCCAAGTCCCACTTCTTCAGCTTGTGTAAGGAGCTGGTGGCCATGAAGGCAGGACAGACAGATGATGACCTCATGTAACCTTCCCTGCAGCTTGGACAGGAACAAGCTTTTCTCTTGCTCAGTCCCTGATTTTCATAGACCTTAGAGGAACCTAATTATCTTGGGGATATTGTGTAGGATTGTCTCATGCTATGAAAGCTTGGGAAAGACTGGGGACTAACAGGGTGTCATGCACTCACTTCTATTTTGAAACTACGTTGAGTATGTCAGTATTGCCACATGTATCTGTGTGGTAAAAACCTTAGTACAGTGGGTCAGTCTTGGACAACCTCTTCAAAAAGCACCTGAAGGGATATGTTTGTCAACAAGGTGCATGTGCTTTCTGATATACAGAAACTGCACAGCAGAGTGGTTGGTAGCCCAGCAGCCCTTTGAGGTGTGTTGCTGTAAAATGGTATCTAAGATCTGAAGTGAATTAACTGAAATTGCTGAGTACTTTTCTTTTGCCGATGCTGATTGTTTTCATTACTAGAGTAATAAGCTGACAAACTATCAAAGCAGAAGCATTTCAAGAAATACGTAGTCTGTTTTTAAAAGAAAAAATTGATTCAAATCTTTCAAGCACACTGGCTCCTGTTTCCCTGGAGAGGAATGACTGCGTAATGAGTGTTTGAAAAGCTGGCTATGGAGATCACCCGTGTCCATTGATCCTTCCTTCATCCCCCCCAAAAATACTAGTATTGCATTTCCAGACATCTTGTGTTTGAGGAGTAAAGCTAAAAGGTCTGACTATTAATCTATTTTGAGCGTTGTTTGAAATATTAGATATGATTTTTAGCTCATTGCCCTCATTAAGTGCAAAGCATACGTTTGCATCAACTCTTGGTATGTATGGAATAAGTGTTGACTTTGAGTGTATTTCAAGTTTTATTTTGCATTTTTCTTCGGACTTGCAGGTTCCCCTGGAAAACAAGTGGATAACTCGGCCAGCAATCAAGGAAATAACTTAGGGACCCCAACCAAGGCTGGAAAACTGAGCCATGCTTTTAGAGATCCCCGACCGGGGAGGAAAACTGCAGAGGGACAAGTGACAAAAGGTGGCGATGAGTCAGAGAGTGATTTTGAATCTGATCCTCCTTCTCCCAAGAGCAGTGAGGAAGAAGAAGAACAGGAGGATGAAGAAGTTTTGCAGGGAGAGAATGGAGACTTCAATGATGACAATGATACAGAACCAGAGAATTTAGGTCACCGACCTCTCCTCATGGACTCTGAGGAAGAGGTAGAGGAAGAGGAGGAAGAGAAGCAGAGTTCTGATTCCGATTCTGATCGTACCAAGCAAAAATCTACAGAAGGGCTCCTAAGCACTAGGTTCAGAGATGATGTGGGCAGTGGTGAAATCAAAGAACCCAGTTCAATGCATATGTCCTTGTCTGAGATGCCAAATACTGTAACCAAGGTGAAACCTGACCAAGAATTTGATGTGTTTGGGGCAGTGCCCTTTTTTACTCTGCAGCCTCAGGCAAGAGAGAAGATAGGCAAAGATGTCTCTTCTCAGATGGCTTTTCCTGGCATGAACCAAGAGCAGGATGACTTTGATGTTTTCACAAAAGCCCCTTTCAGCAGAAAGGTGTCTCAGCAAGATGGCCAGGTGGCAGGTACTGAGCCTCTGCTCTCCCCCACCTCTCCACGGAGTGTTGATATTTTTGGCTGCACGCCATTTCAGCCTTCCCTTCTCCCCAAGACTGGTGGAAGTAAAGAGGACCTGTTTGGGCTGGTTCCTTTTGAAGAGATCACAGGGAGTCACCAGCAGCAACAGAAGGTGAAGCAGCAGCGTAACCTGCAGAAACTTTCTTCCCGCCAAAGGCGCATGAAACAGGAGGTCTCAAAGAACAACGGAAAGCGCCACCATGGTACCCCAACCACCACGAAGAAGGCATTGAAACCGAGCTACCGCACCCCAGAGAGAGCCCGCAGACACAAAAAAGCAGGCCGCAGGGACTCACAGAGCAGCAACGAGTTCCTGACTATCTCGGACTCCAAAGAGAACATAAGCGTTGCGTTGACTGACAGCAAAGATCGAACCAACCCTCTGCAGACAGATGAGAGTCTGCTGGATCCTTTTGGAGCCAAACCCTTCCACCCACCGGACTTGATGCGGCATCCCCAGCATCAAGGGTTTGGTGACAACCGTGGGGATCACGGCACAGTAGTAGTGGCTGGTAGACCTAGGCAGAGCTCCTTGCATGGAGCCATTCATGGTGGTGATGGGCTGAAAACAGATGACTTTGGTGCAGTACCCTTCACAGAACTGGTTGTGCAGAGTGCGCAGAGTCAGCAGCAACAGACACTAGAGTTAGATCCCTTTGGAGCAGCTCCGTTTCCTTCCAAACAGTAAATGCTTCCAATGGGTTCCACCCCTCTGACTTACTTGATAGAGATTTTAATTAGTGGAGTAATTTATCTGGTTGAATTGGCAGGGACCTGGGCTGTACAGTTTGTTCAAGTTCAAGAAGGCATGGCCAGCTTGCATGATGACATTTAGAGGGATGGCAAATTTTTATTGGGGTTTTTTTTGAGAAAAATAGAAAAAAAACCCAAACTGGGAGTGTCATTTTGTTATGACACGTGCCTCCCAGAAAGAAAAATCAGGTATGAGTCATTGTCTGCCACTGACTTTGGGCCCTGGAACATACTGTCATTCTGCACTTTTGTGTTGCCTTTTCAGTCCTCTGTGATGTGCTGAGATGGAGGGAGAGGGACAGTCAGAGAGCACATGAAAGACATTTTCCATACATACAGGTAGGCTAATGGAACTGTGCTGGTTCTTTGTGTCTCAGTTGCAGTAGACCTAAGAACCAAAATGTACTAATACCCAGACTGATCTGCTGGAAATAGTCAAGTCGTTGCTTCCTAGGTGAAAACTACCTTTATTAATCATAAAAATCAAGAAGCCAAGTCCTCAAGGGGCTGTCACTCACAATTCCAGAGCACGGCTATGGCTTGAGACCCAGTAGATGTCTATGCAGCTGCAGAGATGAAAAGCAGATTTTTTTTTTTTTTTTGAGTGCCTAAAAGTTCAAGGGTTTTGGGCTTTTTTTGTTTGTTTGTTTGTTTGTTTGTTTTACAGTAAGTGCCATTAATGTAAAATAGCAAACTGGAAGTATAGCATTAAAACTAAAGATACAGAGAATATAATGGTTTGCGAGATGAAAAGCCTGAATGTAGGGGAGTAAACCAGCAGGGATGCAGCCAGTGTTTGGAGCACTTTGAAGACTACTCAGTATGCTGGGAAGAGAGGCTGGTTTACATGAGGAAATCCTTTGGCACATGTGGATTATTTCAGATGATTTGTACAGTTGACTCTGAGATGCAACCATCAGATTTATTTGATTACAAATTGGGATTTGTGTCTGAAAATACCTTTTCGTTTCCTCTTGGATTTTTATTGCAAAGAAAACATGTATTCTTTCAGACCTTTTTTTTTTTTTTTTTTAAACAGTAATTTTATGAAATGACTGTAACCTAATGTTCCTTTAAGTTCTGATGAATCTATTATTGTACTTAAGTGTATTTTATAAGAAAGTTTTGCTAAACGCACTGAGCTTTGAAGAAACTTCTCTGAACCCGGATTTGTTCCAGAACAGAAGCAGTAAGCAGCAAGTAGCTTGCTGAAGCTGATTGCTACTCTGCCAGTAAACTGCATTTCACACCACAAAGCCTTATGGGCAGGACTGCTGTCCTGCTGCACAGTACCTCTGAGACATCAGGTGCTTGGGAGCACGCGGTGCTGGTAGGTGATGGAAGGTGATGCGAACAGACTCGTTGAGGACAAGATTTTGTTACTGTGTTGCAGAAGTTTGTGCTGTGTAGGCAGGACGGCTTCTCAACTGCCTCACAACTTGTGCCAAGCCACGTACACTGTCTGCAGAGCAAGTACGACTCGGGACGGTCCAGTCTGCCTTTTTTCCATGGCAGTTGTAGAGAGGAAGCAGAAAGAGGTAGTTCCTCTGCTTGTCTCAACGTTGTATCCTGCTCTGCTGAATGCTGATGAGTAGATAATTGGATGTTTTTATATGGAGGACATAGGTGTTTGTGGTTGTCTCCCCCACTTTCACAGGAGGTAAAGTGAAATATTTAGGGTTGTGCTTTGGGTTTTTTCCAAAGTTTCCTGATGGTTATACAGTCATCTTAAGACTTGTGAGGGTGGGGCTGGATCCATTACAGTATCTGTTGAAAACAACACATTAAAAACGTGTCACTTGACTCCTCTGGGGGTTGGTTTGATAAAAGGCTTCCTCAGATATGTGAGATTGCTTCCACTGGTCCTGGAATTTGAAAGTAACACATACGTATATGTACACTGTCATTACCTTTATCTTCCTTGTTTTCATTTTTCTCACAGTGTGAAAGTGAAATATTACAGCTGTGCTTGGTTAAATATGTCTTTTTCAGGCTTAGAAATTAAGCTTTTAGGAGATTATAAGTAGAAATGTTTCAACTCTATTTGCACAGGATTTTCCTAGGCTTTATTACTACTGTTCTCACCTGTTTTTTTGTGCCAAAGGCTGTAAGAAGCGCACGCCAAGTTGTGTAGCATTTTCTGATACTCAGGTTAACTGTCTTTTTTTTTTTCTCTACACGTGCTTATGAGCTGCCTTCCTACAGTATCCTTCTGAACTGTTACTTACCTGCCTAAAGAGCTGTTGGAGCAGAGTATGACATGACAAATGGGGCAGGTGGGTGGAAACAAAATGAAAATAAAACAGACAACTGACCCATGGTCTTAAATGTGGCTAGTCCTTGCCAAAGCCACGCAGGTGCTGCTGGTGGAAAAGCAACTTCAGGGCTTGCTCGGCTGTTTGGTGCCAGAGGAAAGGGTTAACAACGTGTATGGGACTAGGGCTCAGCTCCAAGCAGAGGGAAAATGCTGTGCATCATCAGACTTATCATGGGCCTAAATATTGAGGTAAATTAAGAATAGGGGTAAGTGTGTTTGGTTTTTGCCTGTTTATCCTGAGACTTCAGGCTGAGGAGCACTACAGGTTTTCTTTGTGTGACAGGTTGGTTTGGTTTTTGGTAGAGGGTCCGTAAGTGGTTTATATTACAGTACAGGAAAGCTGGAGTGAGGTTGTACACAGAAACTGAGACCTGAGATAAAAGCAAGCTGTAAAACCATGATACTCTACAAGTGGCATAATGCCTCTGGCTGCATATGAGTTACGGCCGATATTTACTTCCTGATGGCCTTAATAAACCTTGTTCTTTGTATTCTAGTTATGAAACAGGTTTTTGCATAAATGTAACTTTTTCGTTTCTAGAGTTAAAATTATTTTATCCTTTCTTGTGACTGAAAAGAGATTAGTATGCCTCGCCAAGTTGTCTTTGTGTGGTGCATAATGTTTGTACACAACTAAACCCTAGTTTGGGTTTAATTTCAGCTAAGATCCACTGTTCAACAGAGACAAAACACGGTACTGCTGGGGAATGTGACAGCCTTTTGCCTTCATTTGGGGTGTGTGTGTGTGTGTGTGCTCGTGTGTGTGCTTGCCATGGGGTGTATCATGACCTTACCTGAAATACAGGAAAGACCTTGTTGCACTAGACATGTATCGTACTGTCTGTGAAGACAATAATGGCAAGGTAAGGAGCTGACACTTCCTTTCCCACTGAAAATGTCAATTGATTTTTACAGCTTTCAGCATGTTGGGATGACCGAACTGCAGGCTTTTTAGAATCAGCTGCTTGAGAGAGAGATATTCTGTCCAAAGGTACTAAGAAGCCCTTAACAGTTGCAGACATTGAAAGAAAAGTAAGATAGTTATGTTTCTCTGCGGACTCTCAAACGGCCTTGAGATGTCCGCATTTGCTTTGGCTGAACTGTGTAATGTGGGATTTGTGGATACCACCTTTGGAGGAGATAACTTAATCATTCTGGGTGTCCCAGTTAGTAAAACCAAGTACTGTGAAAATAAGTTGATATATTTGCTACTGTGAGAATAAGAGTTTATGTGGAGTTTTTTATACTATATCGTGTATTTTTATATATGAAAAGTATATATAAAATATACACATGCTCGCACACATCATGTATCTCTTGGAGTTGCTGTGTTTCTAGTAATACAGCAGCCACAATCACTTTCATGTGACTTGAGGGAGTGAATATGAATGAAAGCTGCAAAAGAATAAAGAATGGCAAAGGGTGGCTGCTGCGTTACTTTTCCATAGTGCTTATTTTGAAAGGAAAATCAAGGAAATTGTGTGTATAGCTCAATTTGTGACTAAGGCATCACATAATATTAAAGAGCATAAAAATTATGTTAAAATTGCTGGCATTCAGCTTTTAAGTGCACTTTCCTGAACTACACTTCAATTTCTTGTTAGACTTCAAGTTTCTAAAGCTTTTTTGTGTACCACTAAACAGAGAACTTTTAACTTTTTTGTGAAACTGATGTACGTCATAAAATACTTGCAGTTGTTAAATAAACAGATGTGATAACAGTGACTTTGTAGATCTCTTTAAACATTGCTTTATTAAGTATTCACATTTAGGCTTTAATTTACTCATTATAAGCAGTGCTGCTTCTGCTGATTTCATTTTGTGGCTGTAGACCTGTCACTCTCTTGAAAATGTTTTAAAATACTTGTATTTGCTGCCCAGTCATATTTCTTTGTCCAACTTTGTTCAAAACCTGTTGATCATGTACTATTTTTAATTTCTTATTCCTCTTTAGAGCCTTCCTGCAGAAGTTTCAAAAGGATGTGTTCCAATTCCTAGGTGGTAACTGAAGCTTGGTCCCTTTTCTACAGCCAAAATGTTAAGTATAGTCTGCAGTGCTACCTCTGTGGACTTAGTTCTGCACCTAATCTTTTAGACATAATTTTCATGTGATTTAACCCCCTTCTGGCAACTGTTTCCCAGAGCAGTTTTTTTGAATGCTGCTTATACTGATTTTACTCTTAGATAAGCTGAATGAAAATGGTCAAAGACAGAGTGGCAGCAGGACTCAGTTACTAAATAGTAGCTCATGCCCAGGCTGTTCTCTCTCATATCTACTGCCAGTTTCAGTCTAATTTTGTTACAAGGAAACACAGTTTAACTGGAGGCTTCATCTTAAATGAACAACTGTGGCTATTAAATTCTTGCTTTAAACAGTTAGTTTTTCATGGATAATGAGGTCGTTCAGTCTGCACGTTGTTCATGGTTTAAAGGTTTGGCGGAGTACAATTGGAAGAGGTCCTGGGGCATGATCCTGAGAGTTACTGGTAATAAATGTTCTGTGAGTGCTGGCTGTGTGCTGCAGAACAGGATGAGAACAAGCACTGGTAATAGAGGGGACAAAGTCGCCCCTGCTGCTGGTGCAGCTGCCTGCTGCAGGCTGTCTGCATAGGCAGGACACACATACGGTCACAGCTTTTCTGCCTGTGCCATCTCTGGTAAGAGGGTTGGTTTGTTTGCAGCCCCTGCAGTTACAAAAGCAGTTTAAAAATGTTCTGGCTATGGTTTTTTTTGAAGTGTGACTGCTAGCACTTGATTTCTCATCACAGATTTTTGTGTGCAGTTGAACTTCTCCTGTTAAGACTGAAAGCACATTTACAAAGTTGAGGTGGGAAAACTTGTTTCTGTTGAAGCAGTCAGGATGAGCCCTTCCTTCTTTTGCTTAGGGCACAGCAATGGGCCAGAGGCTTATAAGATACAAACAAGGCCCTACTTGGAAACTATCTTGATCTAAAGGTGGTATGCTTCAAAGCCGAGTTCATCAGCAGCTGGATCTAGAGCTCCTCCCCCCAAAAGGCAAATAGACACTCCCTAAGTACCCCTAGTAGACTACACTGCACACACTACTGGCATAGTGTAGTTCAAACACCTGCCCTGCCCGTCCCTGCTGTGCCTTGATAATTTAAGACAGTCTCCCTGTATATTTAAAACCCTGGGGAGGTGACAGAATTTGCGTGGTTGAGCAATTCACATCTGTCGTTTTGCTATTTAAGATGTAAGTATGATGTTACTCCAAGTAAACATCCAATGAACTGAAATTTATTTACATGTTCAGTATGTACATAAAAGACCATCATGCAGCTTGATAAATTCTGTCAGGGTAATAAAAACGCACAGCTTTGCAGTCAGTTTCCTTCTCCAGTGAAAACTGCTACAGTAGTTGGGAGTTTACATAAAAAAAATACATTAGCAAACTATAAAGTCAGTATGCTTTCAATACACAAACACACATTCTTCAAATATTATTGTTCACATAACACTGGAAACAGGCTTTTATACTTGCACCTTATCAGGCTTCAGTAGTAGTAATCAGTGCACTTGAAACTTGCTTGGCTGTCAAGTTTAAAAAATAATAATTTCAGTGTTTACACTGAAAGGCTCAAAGGTCTGGGAGTTGAATCTTAAATGCAGTCAGCTCTTACCACTACTTGTTTCTGGAGTTGAAAAATAAAAAAACCAAACCCAACCCCCTGAACTTAACAGACAGTTGGAATTACTCTCCAGCATAGCAGCAGAGAAGGTAGTATCCTGCCTTCTCCGTGCCTGACAGTAAGTTCCCACCGATATTCCACAAGTTCTTGGCACACCCCGCCGACAAAGGCGGGGACAGCTGGGCGTGTGTAGCCCGGGAGGCGGCAGCGGCGCAGAGGGGACCCGACAGCAGCCTGACAGCAGCCTGCCCGCCCCGTGAAGCGCACTGCACTAAGCCCAGCCTCGCCCTCTCTGCCTGAAGTAAACCCCAGCAAGGGAAAACCCTCCCCCAGAGGCAAGGGCAGAGCACTGGTAAGGCCGACAGTTCATTAAGGGCTTCCCGACTGTTACACGGCTTTTGGCACAGTTGTATAAGGTCTCTGCCCCCCCTGCTGGGCAGTGCTGTCCCATCCGTGGCCGCAGGGGTAAAACAAATTGTTTGACACCTTAGAAGGCCCATCAGTGTGCATTAAGCTGGCTGTTGGCAGATGGTCACAGAATATGAGAGAAGATGCAGGGGTACTATCGAAGGCCACGCTGCAGGTAACAAGGGGAGGTGTAGTGAGGTGAGCTAGGACAGTTTTTAATCCACAACTGAAGATTTCTGCCTGTAGTCACAGCAGAAACAGTTAAAAAGTTAAAATCTGCTGCTTTCCTACACTAGCCATGCTGATGCAATTGCATCCTGCAACAGCTCTGGTCCCAAACTTTTACTGCTTGGGATTAAGTTGTAACAGCATCTTGAAGCAAGCAGAGGAATCTCCAAATGGCTAATGCTGACTAACACTTGATCGTGCGAGGCGGCAGCATTTGCTACCACCGCTCAACTGAACTGTAAACAAAAGCACAGCTGCTATCTAGAAGTCACTTAAAAATGTTGTTTCTAACCCAAAAATCCAAATAATCCAAATCCTGTTTGAAAAACTGGCACCCATTGAGGTTAATCATGCTGAGCTACAGCTATTTAATAACCTGTGTATTTTATGTCTCCCTAGTATTGAGTTTATAAGAGATGGTTCCAAGATAGATTCTAAAACCCAAGGCAACCTTTTAACTGGAGAAAGGTTATGGCATTAAGTCTTTTTCAGTAACAAAGTCTGCAAGTACAGTATAATGCATCACACCTTAAAAGGCCAAAGTTCAGTGACTTGAATCCCCAGTGGGTTCAGTACTTGAGGTGTGTTACTCCATCCTGTTAAACAAATGTAACTTAAAAAAATCATTAGCAACTCTACTGATTGCAAGATAGTAACAAATAGGAACATCCAGGCTTAGTGCTACTCCTGAAACATTTTAGAATACTAATTCCAAATTACCATGATCTAGAGAAGTTTCTTGAAGTGATGGCACTACCCATACTGAGAGAGGCAATTTGTAAGATCTGAAATGAAGATATAGCTATAGTGGATGACATGTGATCTCATCTTCCAGAAAAAGAGCTTGTTCAGAAAGGACAAGAATCCTCTGAATTAAATTTCATACATTACCATACTGATGCTGAAGTGTAAGCACATCATTCAGACAAGGATGCTGAAGGATGCAACACACCGTACCACTGTGATTTAGATCCAGGACCGGGTCCCACAGTTACCATGGTTTCACAAGCACGCTGTCAGGAGCACTTTCTCAATTACGCTCTTGAACAAAACCTGAAAACCTGGTATATGGGCCTGTTAGCTCAGCAAGGGTAATTACTTCTGTTGTTCATGTTTACCAAGCGAAAAAAATACTGCTGTGATCTGACTGCTGAGTCTTACAGCCCACCTTTCCATTGTCCCACTGCAGGAAGACCTGTTTTGGACTTGATTGCAGAACAGGAAATTGATGTCAGATTCCAGGCAATGCTGTTGGTTTTTCAAAACTCCTAATAATATACTGGCCCAGCCAGCAGGTGACAGTCCAGAAGTCAGAAAAAGAACTGCCTCAGTGTGTAACTTCATAGCTCTCAGCTCATTAGGTAAGGTCCAGAGCCTCAAAGTCAGAAATTTCATTGAAGTGGTTCTGAAATACAGTGGGAAAAAAGTTTAGTCACTTACCATGCACATGAAAAGATCAACTCTTCCCTGATTTCCAAAAAATTCAGATCAATGCTTACTAGGCTAAAAACCTGACAAAAGCCTGAGGAAAAGGCTACTTAGGAACAAATACTAATGATGGCTTGAGGCTATTAAAATTGTGAAACAGCTGAAAGGGAACTGGCAGACCTCTGTCCTGCCTGCTCTGAAAGTCTGCTCAAGGGCATTGCAGCCTCCTGCCATCCAGCAGGATAGAGGAGCAGCCTGCCTGGCAGCAAGATCACTACTTCTTTATCTCCAAACAAGTATTACACCAATCAGCATTTTCTTTGGGGAAGTTAATTAGGGAGGCTGACTGAAACTTGTGACAAGTTAAAACCAGGATTATTTAACCGTATACTTGTTAGAATATCCTGTTCCCACGAGTATGAAGACTGCTCTACCTTCACTCACAAGTCTGGGCTATACTCAGGACAGGGCTTGCTGTGTCGATATTGCATGATGTACACTGTGGACTGATGCCACCAATACAGCATCACCACGGCAAGGATATGCCAGACTTGGTGACTCGAGCCGAGGTAGTTCAACTGTCCTGTGGGGAAGAAAAAGGGCAAGTGGTTAAATTGTTAAACTTCACAGTAACTCATGCAATGCAATTAGCAATCAGTCTGTCTCCAAAGCTCAACTATATGCTCCACTTACTGGGAAGGCAGTGAAAGTTCTTTAACAAACTTGACAAGAAGTTGTCTGCCTTCTTTGGATGCAAATACATGCCGCATTTTACTCTATATGAGAATACTTGATGTAGAACATGGTCAACCTGTTCCCTCACAGGAAGTTCAGGAGTCAGAGCAAGGACTGCAACACTGCAGGAAGCTTAACTGCAGAAAAAACACCCAGAAGAGAATGTCCTACCTGGGAAGTATCTTTCTGGAACTTTGGAAATATAGAAGAGAAAAGCTACAGCAGCGATGAAGTACATGACAACTACACGTGGAGCAAACTCCTGCAAAAGAAAAGGAAGCTCTCCTATTCTGTTAGAAGGTAAAACTAGGAAAAAAAAAAAAAGTCCCTAAAGATATAAAAGGCATGACAAATCTGAATCTTACTGCACTGCCTATGTTATGTAATGGACAAAATCCAACAGCAAAGCAAATGCCAAAGTTTGGGAAAATCTCAATGCAAAAAAACCCACCTTGGTTTATCACCACTTCTCTGCTTCAATATACAAGCTACTTTGTGTTTCTATGCAGTCTGCAGCAGACATGAAATCTGTCGGTAAACTGACATCTTCCAGTACACCAGTCTGACACAGAATGGCCACAATAAGTGAGGCTTCAGTGCAAAATCTCATTTACTAGTTGAGACTGCAGTCGCTAGGACCTAAGGCCTCAGGATTACCAGATACTGGATGGTAGATATTCAAGCAACCCATTCATGAGTTGTGTTCTGTTTTCCTTAACAGAATTTTTCTTTTATCAGAAATGGAACTTTTTCTGAAGTATGGAAACAAAATTCTGCTGTACCAGGAAAAATTAAGTGGGGGAAGATGTGAGGGGAAGACTACTGTTTATCTGATTTTTAGGCCAGCATTAAGTGGCCATAAAGGTTGCTCTTCCACATTCAACAGCAACTTTGGACTGGGCTAAACCACCACCCCAGGTGACAGTCCTCCATAAGGGCCAGTGTAAGAATGTTCACAGCTACTTCTTGCTACGAAAAGGAAACGTTTTCTTCAGCACAGTTGGGTCCCTGGGTAATTGCAATGACTTCTGTGCTTTTTACAGTGGGGTGTACTTTACTGCCTTCAGCTGTACTGTGCTGCTTGTTTCTCAGAGCATAACTCTAAGTGGTAAAACAAGAACAGGAAAATAGTGCAGTAACTTCACAGCCATGTTAAATGAGGGCTGCATAAGAGAGAAGGCTGAGTAGGCAAATACTGATTTTTGCTGCCAACCCAGGGAACAGAAGAGGAAGCAAATAATCATCCCATCAGTGTGTTCTGCTTCCCCTCCCTCCTCTTGAGCTGTGGAGGCGGACAGCCCAGAGCACTTGTGCAGCCTGACAGACTGCTTCCCACTCGCCAGCCGGCTCAGCTCCTCTGCTCCTGTCCCTTGCCCTGGGGTGAGCCAGGGTGCGGCCCACCCACACAGGTTCCTCTGTCCCTCGCTCACACTTGGATCTAGATTTCCTTCTCTTGGTGCGCTTTTAAAGCAGTAAAGCAGATTTAATCTACTCAACCTGTTCTGTTTACTACTTCTCAATTTCTAAGTGTTTGCATTTGGACCATATAATCCAAAAGAAGTCGGTGCTTAAAGAAATTTTAATTTCTGCTGCCTCCCCCTCATTTCCTGAAGTGCAAGAGGACTGAAGGAAGATGGCAAGTGAAAAGCAAAAAGGAATCTTATTTGCTCTTTTTTTTTCTTTTACCTGTACAATAGATGCACCAATGCCGCCGTTGAGCCAAACCCAGTGGATGGTGGGAATAATTCCATATCCAGACACTGAGCAAAAGATTATGGAGCGCAGTCTGTGCCACTGTTGCGTGAGGTAACTGGGATGAATCTGAGCAAAAAATACTGCCAAGATCATTGCCAGCACAGTGATTAAATATACCTGACGCCAGTACTGAGGAAAAAAAACACCAAAAAACAAAAGCAAGTTTGTGGGTTTTTTCATCATGTGTAAAAGTAAACTCTGGGTAGAAAGTTTACATTACTAAATGTAATGATATATCAAATCTCCTGTCACTGCTGTGAGCACAAACAATGGGGTTTGAATGATGAGACTTGTATTTATCAAATGACAGCGAGGGGAAGGGACTCTACTGCTCAGGTACACCCGGTAGATCATCATTTATTCCAAGGAGGGCCTTCACCAAACATTTTAAGCATAGCTCTGCCTCAGCAGACTTGTTCAACTACCTGATCTCTGCATCTGTTGCAGGCACAGATGTAATCTAGGCCTTTGAAGGGAACTAATTTTACTTGTCCTCTATTAGATGAAGAGAAAGTAATCTTATTTCTGCCTCTGTAACTACCTAGTGGGAAAGGATGTTTCAATTACTCGTGATGAAGACACATCCCATAATCACTCTCATCTATTTGACAAAGGTAGGATCTGTAAAGTTTACCCTGCCTTCATATAAATTTGAGTATTTTCTTGAGGCTTGTGCGATTCACAGCTTGAAAGGAAAACCTCAATTTGCCTATCACTTCAGCAAGCACAGTTCTGCTGCTGTCAGAAGGAACTTGTTTTGATCTCCGTCTCGGTCCCGACTAACATTCTATTCGGACACCCTGCAAAGAACCCCCTTCCTGGGTTGTAGAAACAACAGTGGGACCACAGGAACTAAACATTACATGAACAAGTGCTTCAAACTTACGTTATTGCAATAAAATGCATAAAATACTCCTGACACATAGCAGCCCAGGATACCAATGGAAATTCCTGCATAATCTAATGCCATCCATCGTCGGCTGGTCTTCTCTGAGCGGTGACAACAGAAAAGATGATATCCTACTGAGCAAAGCATACAGACCTATACAAATGTTCAAACAAGGATGCATTAATTTCTTAAAAATTCACAGAGAGTAGAGCAAGCTTAAACCCCGAAGCTCAGAGCATGCGATTGACCTGTTACATGTTTTGCAGTGCAGTTTGGTGCAGGCAATTATGATTTCGGCCAGTAGTCAACAGAAATCAAAGTAACTTTCTCTTGCTGATGGAAGAACAGAATCAGATATGATAACCCCAAATTGCCCAGCTAAGAAAACTGGGCCACTGAGGCCTAGACCTAGACCCTGAGGCCAAGTGTGGAGACAGTATGCAAAGGAGCAGGGCCACATCTGCATGACTACAGTGGAATGATGAATTCTGCTTGGCCAAACTCCCACAAGCAGAAACCAAAGCTCAAATCTGCCCTAACTGCCTGGCACCCATGTCACTTTACAGCAGGAACACACAAGAAATTTAACTCTTCTGATGCACAGGCTGCTGATTTGCTTCTGGGCTGGCATCAGAATTTTTTCCCTGACAAATGTTTGTGTTTCTCTGCAACCCTCAACAGGAGTAGGGAAGAGCGCAACAGCAGTGCTTTCCAAGCCAGCAAGGGGGTCTTCCCTACTCCTAGCCATGCAAAGGCATCCTATTCTCTTCAGGGAATAGTGATCTTCAGCTCTTCACACTTTTAGAGACACATGAAGTCTGCTGTTGAGAACAGATTTCATCTGACATGGAAGCTGTTGCTTAGAGCAGGTAAAATGTTAGAACACAAGCCTGACTGCCATCCCACACCAGCAGCAGGCCATGGCTACTTTTCATGTTGTGGTGGGTGACCCTTTGCAGCAGTAATTGTTGCCTGGGGGCCCCATCAGACAGTACTGAACCCCAACACTCAGCTGAAGCTGTGAAGTACAGCCTTGGACAGTTTAGTTGTTTTTCACAGAGTCTCTCCTCTGCTAGCTACATTCAGTCCTCCCTGGTTTATTCCATATATTAAACGGGTCAAACCCAACTCACCCACAGAGCTAGTCAGCTGCCTTTAAAAGCCGGCACAGGGCCCCGCTGCGGGCGGGTTTGTTTTCTCGAAGCCTCCCGAAGGAAGCCCGTCTCAGAAGGCGGAGATTTCCACTTGGGGTGAAAGGCTGCTGCGTGGCGCTTCAGCGGGATGTCCGCCAGCACCCCAGGCGGCGTGGGCGCCGTGCGAAACACGGCACTGCTTGGCAGCCGTCACTGTGGGTATCGCTAATTATCCATTTACAGCTCACCTGGCGTAAGGCGCGCAATAAAACGTTTCATTACTGTCGAGGAAGAGAATTTTGTCTGGAAGGAAATGGTGCGCATCCCTGAGAAGCTGCTGGAGAAAGAGGTTTCTTTGGGAACGTCAGCCATTTCTTTGAGGTAGACCTGACGAGTGCAAACCTTTCTAAAATACAGGTTAGAGACAGGTGCAAAGTTAAAAAGTGCTGAAGATTATAATTGCTTATGAGAATTGTACAATTGCTTATGGGAATTGTACCTTACAAAAGCAATCTCTGGTTAATTAAGGTAGTTAGTATTAGCATTTTTTTTTCCCTGTGTACTTTATGAAGTACCAAAAAAACAATAATCTTAGTAGCGAGGAAGACTCTTGCAAAGAATTTGCATTGCCTAAATAAGAAAAGCTGTGGGTTGTTTGCCAGCTGCTTTTCAATATTTTTCGTAATTAAAAAAAAAAAAATCACTAGATATCTGGCTCTCGTTTTCAAAGTTGACCAGTGTGCTGAATGGTAATCCTCATTCACCTGCTCCTCCCCTTCAGTAACATGCCATGCAGAATTCTTCAAAGGCCTTTTGCCTCATTAAACAAAAATGTGAGAGCTTTTCTCCAAGATGGCATGACAAGTATGAAAGATTTTCCCATGGCAGAGAGATTTGTATTGCGAAGTAAAAGATGTAGGGTGATGGGCATTTGAAATCAAGAATGACTGTGAAGACCAGGTGTTCAAATCCTAGATGTTGCAATATAACTAGCTGTGCTACATCACCCCCAGATTTCTATGTTAACACCATTCGGTTATTCAAATTAAGTTGGTTTTGGTCAACAGCAGCTCTTGAATATTTCTACTTATCAATCATTCACTGAGATTTTTTTAATGTCAGGGCTCTAAAAAACATATTCCTCCTGCCTCTGCTGATACTTCTTCATGCCTTTTCCCTCTTCTCAGCTGTTCTATGTACTGGCTGTCTTTTTCTCCCCCATATATCACAGGACTTTGGAGAGTTACATGGAGGGATCCTATTCATAGTAATAATTCAGCAGACTTAACTTTAAGAAACTTCCTCATGTTTTCCTCTTTCTGGGATGTACCTGAAGCATGTCTCTGAATGGTTCATTCCTATTTACTTACTTTCTATCTTGCTTTCCCTACGGCTTCTCTGTTTCTGTTTTTCCCCTTCACTTGAGCTTGCTATTAATTAAATTAATAAGAATAATTTAGGAAAAATACACAGAGAAAATACATTCTGAAAGAAGATCCTTAGACATGGTTCTTCTGACAGAAGGGGAGAGATCCAGATTACTGCTGGCTGTATTCAGGAGGGAGCACAGGATAATGCTTTTTCAGACAGCAGTGGCCTTAGGTACCCAGGGAAGCATGGTGTAATAGAACGCCTTGCAGGCCGGCGCAGTGCTAAGAGCTAAGTTGGCTGATACTTGGGTGATGGCTTGGTGAGTCTCGCATGTAACAGGGTCACAGGAGAACTAAGAATTCAGATACTAGTGTTTATTAGAAATAAAACCTTAGGAAGCCACAAAGGTGTTATCTGGTAGCTTGCTCAAAAGAAATAATTCAGAGGCTGTTGATGTTTGGTGGTGGAAGAACAGTTTAGTTCCCAGCTGACCTGTATCAGCTGTACTAAAAAGAGGAAAATGGCCTATTTTGGTCTACCTAGTGTGCTTGGAAGCTAAAATCTCTGAACCAGGCTAGTGGGGCCAAGCTAACAAGAACAGTATTTCCATGGTGGCAATCTTTTTCCTAACAAGTGTCCCAGTTTTTTCTCTTTGCAGTGCTCACTTGGATGAGGGAGATAATACATGTTTATTCAGTCACAAGTATGTAAAGGAGCAAGAATATAGCTGCCACATTAATCCAGGTGAGCGAACTCCAACTATCCTGAGGAGCCTCTCGCTGCCCTGGTGAAACTGAGTTGGGGAAGTCAGGTTCCTGCCAGCTCCCACTGATAAATGAAGAGATTCATTGTTCACTCGAGTAGAGACTTGCTTTCATCAAGCCAAATACTGCTTAGAAAGTTGTTAGCAAGTTAAAACCTTAATTAGTCTTAATTGTCCATTGAATCATTAGCTCACTGAGAACATTATACCTGGAAAAAACACTTTATTTCTAAGCCCTATGCAATTTAAATGATATCCCAAGTGCTTCAAAGAGTTCAGTCAGAAGGAATCGGAGCTGACAGCACTTTTTTTATTATAAAAGAAGCTTTAATTGGCTGTTAAGTTAAAGCTTTGAAGCTTTGATAGGAGAAGTGTTATAGGTTAAATTAATAGGGAAAATTGAAAAACAATTAGGACAGCTTTAAATTAATTACTTACACTATTTATTTTGAGCTTATTGAACAATTGTGTTGTATGCATAAGTGATTAAAATTAGCCATCTGTGCAAGATAGCTTTGACCTAAATTGACCTTCTTGAGTAAGTAGCTTGCCCTAATTCCTATACTGTATCCCTAATTTTACTGGCAGATAAGCTTAATTGGGAGTAAAGATGAATATACCCAAGAGGTTTCATACTTTTCTGTTGAAACTGAAATCACCTGTGCAGACAAAGGTAGGGAAGGCTCTCCTGGAGAGATGTCTGAGGAGATCACAAGTGAGCTAAACTGTTTCTTGTTAGCCCTAACTGCGCCCTGCTGAGTTCCATTCTCCTATTGTCAGCAGTGTCCCTGTGCAATGCCCTGATCAGGCACATGACCTATAACCCCGTAACCACTGTTTAGCTTGCTATTTGAGGGAAACCTAGGAAAGAACAAGTTTATTTGAGCTAACTGGTATTTGCTCTGTAATACTGTCAGGTTCTTTTAATGCCCTGCTCCGTTCTGCTGTGTTTTTTTCAGGGAGCAATAGGGGGCAAATGACTTGGAAAAAAGAATGATCCAAACAAAGTATCTCAAATGCTCATGACAAAATGGGAGCAAAAAAAAAAAACCCCAAAAGTTCAGTTTTGAAGTTGAAAGGGTGAAAATATTCTCGGTGCTGATTTTTGAGACACTGAAACGTTTCACACACACCCCCTTGCTTTTTCTGTTTCTCGCAGGTCGGAGCCAGAACAGCTCCGGCTGGACAAGCGGAGGCTGGTTCCCCGGGCGGAGGGCGGGAGGCTGCGGGGTGTGAGCATCCATCGCCTCTCCTCCCCTCCCTTTCCCTCCCTCCCCTCCCCGGGCCCATGCGCGGTTCTCCCTCCAGGTGTCAGCCTGGCACTGCGCTACCCACGGCCGGCCTGCGCCCAGGAGGGGCCTCCTCATCCCCCTGATAATTAACACGGCACCCAGGCTGCGGCGGGGGGGGTCCCCGGCCCGGCACCCCCCGTCCTCGGAGACCTGTAGCACTTGCACATCAGGTCAGTGCCGTTACTCCTGAAGTAGCTAGCTCGGTGATCCTCTTCTTCGGAAGTGCCTGGCAGAACACCTCCCGATTTGTGGTTGTGGGGATGTGGCTTTTCATATGTGTGTTGCAAGCAAGGAGATGGAAGGTGCCCTGGGACTCCTTTTCCCACTGTTGGAATCTATTGCCATGGGAGAATGCAGATTGTACAGAGTTTTCCAGAAAAGACAGTTTAGTGCCCGGGAATGACATCTGTTATCAGTCTGACCTTAGTTGAGAAAATACAGTTGAGAATGTTGGTCAAAAGTATGGCGTGGTGTATCTTCCTTCGCATCATGCTTACAGCTGTGCCCGTGTATAGCTCAGATTTTCTTTGCCCGTGATTAAGAACAATGTTTTCCCTGGGGATGGGAAGAAGATGGGAGGAAGAAGAAGGTATATTTCAGAATACTGTGTTGAGGAGTACGTTTCAATGCAAAGCCTGTGAATAAAATACAGGCACTGGCTTATGACCATAGAGACCGTGTATTTATTTATGTGCATAAAGCACTTTGGGTTCTGTATCAGTGTGCAAAGAAAGCTTGCAAAGGGCCAGGTATACTCTACGTGTTTACTGACAGTTACATCAAGACCTAGAGATATTTAATAAAGCCCCTTGTCATGTGAAACAGATAGAACCTGTCTCATCCTTTCTTGGAAGTAGCCAGAGTGTCTGAGAAATTAACTACTGGATATTGATATATGGTGGAGTTCCATATAAGCAAATAAGGTTCATAGTTTTGTGGAAGTCCCAGAGTCTTTGAAAGAGTGTCTGTGTGTGTAAGAATAGAAATCCTGGGACACCCCCAATCCACAAACTCCCTTCATGAGAGAGCATTAGGAACACAAGTACCTTGTGTTTGATGATTAGAGTGACCTTAATACTAAGAAAGCTGTATTTCGGTGTCCTCTTCCCTGAAGATCCATCTTTCTTCCTTGCCCTGCCTCTGCTAGGATTTTTGTGGTGAAGTTCTTTATGGTTTCCTGTAGCATGCTCCTCAGTATAGAGCCTGAGCGGCTTCCAGGAGTGCCCAAAACAAAAACGCTTGACATCTGCCGTGGGGGTTCAGGCTCTCTTTCCTCTCCCCATGGAGAGATGCATGTGCGATGTGTGCAGTGAAGTGACTTATTTTGGTAGGGCTCTTCCTTTTTTTTTTTTTTTTTTTTTTTTTTTTTTTTTTTCAGCTCCAGCTTCTGAATCTCAGCATCTGTCAGTGGTGCGATAAATTCTCTTTGGTGATAAGAGAACAGCTGCCAATAGCAAGAGCAAGGATGGCATTTGGGCTTTTTCCTGCCTTACGAGAGCTTACAGTCAGCAAAAATGCACTGTGCACACAATGGAAGAAGGCACCTCTTCTGTCCAGCCTACTATTTTTTTTTCCAATTCAGCAGCATCTTTTCCCTC